AGGAAGGAAGGAAGGAAGGAAGGAAGGGAAAGCTTGGGTTTGTAAGCCACAGGTTGGATGCAACCAGCTTTTCTGCTGGTGAAGAAGGAAGGACCACCCAAAAAGGCTCTCCTGGGGTTCTTGAGGCCGACTTGGACAAAAACTAACCGGATAAGGAGTGTAGTAAGGAGGGGAAACTGGGCAAGATGGAGTGAAAAAGCTGGCATCCACTCCGACCAAGAACATGGCTATGGCAAGTTACAACACTATAAAAACATTAAACATTAAAACACCTTATGCCTCGCTAGCAGGGTATTCCCCCTTTGCCCAGGAAGCCCCAAAACCACTCAAGAATACAGTCTCCATGGAAATCAGGATTGCAGAAGCCTCCAGACCTCTTCCAAGAGGCTGTTCCCCAAGCACGAGGCAACTTAAGGATCTTTAACGGTGAGATGACATTCTCTTACCGTATCTTTGTTTGAAAATCCCCAGATGGCAGCGGCTACTTCGAGAGCAAAGATCACAAGGAGGAAGAGGAAGAACTAAGGAAGAAGGATGGAAAAGACAATTTCATCACACTGGCTTGTGGTTAACCACACACGGTGAAGTACAGATGGTTTTCAAAGAGAGAGACAACACAACTTAACATTTCTATAGCACCGTAGAGAGTGGGTTTGGAGTGCTGCAATCCTTGCAAGAGTTGCCCTGTATGGCAGGTTAGTATTACTATCCCCATGTGGCTTGGTTTGTATATGTGCACGTGTGTGTATACACCGGCTTGCCTGCAATTACCTAAAGGGTTTGTTGTTGAGGTGCAGTTTGAAACGATGACTTCCCAGCACACACTCACTCTGCTCCGTCTAGTGCAAGCGTACTCAGAAGCGAGTCCTACTTTATTTAATAGACTTAAAAGTCTACCTTTCTCCAAGGTAACTGGATCCCGAGGTGGGTAACAACAACAACAGCAACATAAAGATCATTAATTCTAAAAAGCAAGGACATTAAAATCACTATTGGGGGGGGGAGTTTAAAAATTCAAGCATCTATACAGCAACCATTTTGGGGAGCCAAAGAGTTCTGTTTTACAAGCCCTCCAAAATTTTATTTATTTATTTATTTATTTTTCACATTTGTATCCAGCCCTCCCCAGTGGGCTCAGGGCGGCTAACAGGGGCAAGGTCATTAGCCATGCCATAGGTAAAAACATATAAAAACATAGTAAAAACATCCAAACACTAAAACCACAGTACTCAATCCATTACTAGTATCCTAAATCCAAGATGGTATCACCACAGTCCCAGATGGTACTCCCATGGTATACGTGTCCAATGGCAACGGCTTATCAGATCTACAATTTCCAGGTTCTTCCTTGGGCCTCGTCGATACATTATTTAAGATAACTTGATGGTGGTGGTATAATGGGGTGGCGGCTCCTACTCAAAAGGCCTGGCGGAAGAGCTCCGTCATGCAGGCCCTGCGGAACTGCACAAGGTCCCGCAGGGCCCGGATCTCCCCCGGGAGCTCGTTCCACCAGGTAGGAGCCACCACCGAAAAAGCCCTGGCCCTGGTTGCAGCTAGTTTGGCGTCCTTGGGACCTGGGATGACCAACAGATTTTGGGCCCCCGACCGTAGTGCTCTTAGGGGAACATGTGGGGCAAGGCGGTCCCTCAGGTTGGCTGGACCCTGGCCATATAGGGCTTTATAGGTAAGAACCAGCACTTTGAAGCGGATCCGGTAAGCTATCAGCAGCCAGTACAGCGCTTTCAGCACAGGCTGAATATGGTCCCTCCTAGAGAGACCCATCAACAGCCTGGCTGCAGCATTCTGCACCAGCTGCAGCTTCCGGATCTGCGACAAAGGCAGCCCCATGTAGAGAGCGTTGCAGTAGTCTAGCCTCGAGGTGACCGTCGCATGGATCACTGTGGCAAGGTCATCGCGGTCAAGGTAGGGGACCAACTGCCGTGCCAACCGAAGATGATAAAAGGCTGACTTGACAGTGGCTGCCACCTGGGCCTCCATTGTTAATGAGGAGTCCAGGAGCACCCCCAAACTCCTAACCCTAGACGCTGGCACCAAAGGCGCCCCGTCGAAGGTCGGGAGAGGGAGCCCTAACACCACACCAGTCCGACTCAGGCCCAGGACCTCCGTCTTTGCCGGGTTTAGTTTCAATCGGCTCAGCCGGAGCCAACCAGCCACAGCCTCTAAAGTCTGATGAAGGTCATTGGGACTCGAGTCCGACCAGCCACCCAGCATCAGGTAGAGCTGGGTGTCATCTGCATATTGATGGCACCCAAGCCCATAACTCCGGGCAATTTGGGAAAGGGAGCACATATAAATGTTAAATAGCATCGGGGACACCACCACTCCCTGAGGCACCCCACAATCAAGGGGGTACCTATGGGATCGCCGGTCCCCGACAGCCACCCTTTGTCCCCGACCTTGTAGGACAGAGGCAAACCATTGAAGGGCAAGCCCCTAAATCCCCACGTCAGCGAGGCGGTGGGTCAGCAGCTGATGGTCGACTGTATCGAACGCGGCCGACAGATCTAGCAACAGCAGTGCCGTCACACCTCCTCGATCCAGATGCCTTCGGAGATCGTCAGTCAGGGCGACCAAGGCCGTCTCAGTCCCATGACCAGGGCGAAAACCGGACTGGAAGGTATCTAAGACTGAAGCGTCCTCCAGAAAGCTCTGTAGCTGTAACGCCACCGCCCGCTCAATACGTTTACCCAAATAGGGCAAATTGGACACTGGCTGAACATACTGGTGACTATACATGCTTCCTGAATGGTACAGTTTCCAGCCTCCAGGTGGTAGCTGGAGATCTCCTGGGATTACAACTGATCTCCAGGTGACAGGGATCAGTTCAGCTGTAGAAAATGGCTGCTTTGGAAGGTGGACTCTATTCCACCTTCCAAACGTCTCTTGCCTTGAAAACCCAACAGGGTCACTATAAGTCAGGTGTGACGATGGCACTTTCCACCATCAAATACCACTGGGTTCAACAGGACTCACATCCTTTTAATGGTGTTTAGGACTGCAGCCCTACCGTGCCTTCCTAAGCAGAGTTATTCCCTAAGGTTTCTAAATCTGAATTGGGGAACTTCAAGCATTTGGGAGTTGGAGCCTGGAGAGGATGGAGGATAATGCCAAAAAGTCCACCCTCCAAAGCAGCCAATTTCTCCAGGGGAGTTGAGCTCTGTAATCTGGAGTTCAGTTGGCATTCTGGGAGATCTCCAGGCCTCACCTAAAGGCTGACAACACCATTTGCTCTGATCTGAGCCATTTGAAGGCAATGGCCTCAGAAGGTTGCAATTCTGCTTAGGAGGACACTGTCAGTAACTCAGGCAAGTGAGAGCTCAGAAATCCCCCAGGCCTGGCTCAGAGGAAGAACAATGAAGAAGAGATTGGATTTATACCCCGGCCTTTCACTCCCCGAAGGAGTCTCAGAGCAGGTTACAATCTCTTTTCACTTCCCGTCCCCCACAAAAGACACCCTGTGAGGTAGGTGGGGCTGAGAGAGCTCTTCTGAGAACTGCTTGTGAGAAAAAAGCTCTGAGAGAACTTGTAACTGACCCAAGGTCACGCCAGCAGCTGCATGCGGAGGAGTGGGAAATCAAACTCGGTTCTCCCAGACTGGAGTCCGTGCTTCTAACCACTACACCAGATTGGTTCTTTCTTTGACCCAGAATGCAACCTATATTTGTCTCTTTTTAAAGAACACAGTGCTCCCTCCCCCCGCAAATTTTGTCTTGATTCTACCGCTTTATAAATTTACTAGCAGTAAAGCCCGTTGTGAAAGCAATACAACGAGATCTAGAAAGAGGCTCTGGGGCAGTGCTCTGGCTTTGGGCAAACAGTGTCAATTTGCTGTGGTGACCTCAGCAGGGTATAATGACAGAGTCCACTGTTTTCTCCAGAGGAACTGACCTCTGCTACCTGAAGAGCAGTTGTAATTGTGAGTGATCTGTAGCCCTCACCTGGAGATTGCCAGCAATTGTTACCCAGGACAAAATGGCTGGCTTGGAGGGTGTAGTCTATGGCATTCTACCTGTCTGAGGTCCCACCCCTCTGCAAACCCCACCCTCTCCAGGCTCCAGGAGGCAGAAGCCTCCGGTCGCCCGCTCCCTTCCCCTCCCCCACCATCGACTCCTGGGCCGGCAACTGGAGGCTGGGTCCCTTCCCCCCCACTCAAGGGATGGCAACGGGATGCAGAGGCCTCTGGCCGCCGCCACCGTTCCCCCACCCCCCTCCCACCCTCACCCACTACTGTTTACCTTACCACCATCCAGCCTATGCGTTC